TGGCTCAGTATACTTAGGGTCTAGCTGGGCACGTGAGCTCACTGCCTCCCCCATCTGTGTCAGTATCTCTAGCCCCCCTAGATAGAAAGAACCCTGATGATTAAGAAATAGATTTCTCCAGTTGAGAGCGTTGTGACAAACACCAGCTTGTTGTAGTTTTAATACTTGTAATACAAGTTTTGTTGCAATATATTCTTTAGTTTGTTGATCTATATTTTTGTTTATTTCTTTTTTATTATGTATATTAAACACTATATTATATACAGTAGATAACAGGTGTTCATACACCTCAACCCTCTGAAACAGCATCTTCAGCCCATCCGGGTGGTTCGGCTGCACCATAGTAACACCCCCAACATGGTCGGGGATCAGCAGCCCCCGCGATGCACAGCCACTGGATATGGGGCTGGCAGCGCATGCAAGAACTAGGGCTTTAGACTCTAGCGCAACCTCAACCCACCTATTGGCTGCTTCTATAGATAAATTATTTTCATCGCCAGCAACACACAGATGCAGCCGCAGAGCCATGTTTCTCCCCCTGCAGGGGTCAAACACTTCTATATATAAACTAGAAACACCAGAACCCAGCACCCTCGTCACCAACAAAGGAGACAGAAACGAACCCTCAGATACAGCCCGCCCCAGCGGCAAAACCCCACTCAACTCTACATGCTGGCCCTCGAGCTCTGGTGTCTCTCCATCAGTAAGAATCTCTGCTGCAACCCCAGCTAGCTCTTCTTCTTCCTCTGTTAGTAGCATGCTTGGATCGCTATCTGAGCTGTCTATACACTCCAGCGCTAGCCGCTGCAGTGTACGTCGAGCTGCTCGCCCCCCTGCTGATGTATCTATATCTTCTGCATCAGGTAGATGCCAATGAGACGGAGACACACGAGCAGAAGCAGCAGCAGCAGCAGCAGCAGCAGCAGCAGCAGCAGCAGCAGCAGAAGCACCCGGGGACCCCACACGATCCCGCCGACGATCCCAACGACGATCCCAGCCCCCCACACGATCCCGA